GGGGAGAAAAGGGAAAAAAAAAAAAAGGAAGAAAAAGGAATTAAAAAGGAAAAAAATGTGGGAAAAATATAAAAAAAAAAAAAATCATTATCTCTGGCTGCCTGGAAAAAAAAAAGCACTTGACCTTGTGGCACTCAGCACCTGCCCCCGGCACGGGGGAGAAAAGGGGAAAATAAGAGAGAAAAAAGGTAGAAAATGGTTAAAAAGGGTTCAAAAAGAGGGGAGGGAGGTGAAAAAAGGGGGGAAAGGGGGAAAATAAGGGGGGAAGGGGCAAAATGGGGGCGGAAGGGGGAAAAATGAAAAAAAGGGAAAATAAAGGGAAAACGGGGGGAATAGGGGGAGAAAGGGAAAAAATGGGGAATATAAAGGGGGAAAGGGGGCAAAAATGGGGGGAGGAGAGGGAAATCAAATAAAAAATAATTTTTAAAGGGAAAAAAGATCGAATGGACCCTATTTGCTATCTCTGGCTGCCCTGAAGGCGAGCAGCACTTGACCCCGCGGCACCCAGAGCCTGCCCCCGGTGTGAGGGGAAAGGGAAAGGAAAAGAGGGGGAGAGGGGAAAAATGGGAGGAAAAGGGGAAAAAAGTTGGGGGGAAAGGGGGAAAAGGGGGAAAAAAGGATTCAATCGTCCCGATCCCTGTCTGTGGCTGCCAGGGCACAAGGAGCCCTTGAGCCCCGAGCCCGAGTCCAGCGCACCCCGGCACGGGGGAAAAGGGGAAAGAAAAGGGGGGAAAAGGGAGGGAAAAATAAAATAAAAATATCAAATCGGCCCCGTTCGCTGTCTCTGGCTGCCCGCAGCGCCCTGGAACGCGGGATCCGCTCGAACCGCCGCCCCCGAGCCGCCCGCCCCGAGCAGCAGCCGGGACCGGGACCGGGACCGGGAGCGGGAGCGGGACCGGGACCGGGAGTGGGAGCGGGACCGGGACCGGGAGCGGGAGCGGGAGCGGGACCGGGATCGGGACCGGGAGTGGGAGCGGGACCGGGAGCGGGAGCGGGAGCGGGGCGAGGATTGGGGAGAGGAATGGGGTGAGGAACGGGGCGAGGATTGGGGTGAGGATCGGGAGAATGGGGTGACGATCGCGGGGAGGAATGGGGTGAGGAGCGGGGTGAGATTCGGAATGAGGATCGGGGCGAGGATCGGGCTCGGACACGAACCCGGCGGGGAGATTTCCTGTAAACAGCCCCGGGATCGGGGTGAGGATTGGGGTGAGGATCGGGGTGAAGAACGAGGTGAGGAATGGGATGAAGATCGGGGTGAGGATGGGGATGAGGAATGGGATGAAATTGGGGTGAGGAACGGGATGAGGATCGGGGTGAGGAATGGGGTGAGGATGGGAGTGAGGATCGGGGTGAGGAATGGGATGAAGATCGGGGTGAGGATCGGGGCGAGCTCCCATAAACACCCCCGGGATCGGGGTGAGGATGGGGATGAGGCTCGGGATGAAATTGGGGTGAGGAACGGGATGAGGATGGGGATGAGGAATGGGGTGAAGATCGGGGTGAGGAATGGGGTGAGGATGGGAGTGAGGATCGGGATGAGGAATGGGATGAAGATCGGGGTGAGGAATGGGGTGAGGATGGGAGTGAGGATCGGGATGAGGAATGGGATGAAGATCGGGGTGAGGATCGGGGCGAGCTCCCGTAAACATCCCCGGGATCGGGGTGAGGATGGGGATGAGGAATGGGATGAAGACCGGGATGAGGCTCGGGATGAAATTGGGGTGAGGACCGGGCCGAGCCCGGCACGAAGGTGGCGGGGCGAGCTCTGTAAACACCCCCGGGATCGGGGTGAGGATGGGGATGAGGAATGGGATGAAATCGGGGTGAGGACCGGGCCGAGCCCGGCACGAAGCCGGCGGGGCGAGCTCCCGTAAACATCCCCGGGATCGGGGTGAGGATGGGGGTGAGGAATGGGATGAAATCGGGGTGAGGCTCGGGATGAAATTGGGGTGAGGACCGGGCCGAGCCCGGCACGAAGCCGGCCGGGCGAGCTCTGCAAACAAGCCCGGAGCGGCTCCAGGAAAGGGCAGCGCTGGCCAAAGGTGGCCGCGGGGACGGGGCCATCGCTCAGCGGGGCTGGCACGGCAACATCGGATATCCAAACACTCCCCGAGCACTCAGAGCGCCCGACACGAAATATTTGATGGGCTCGTTTGATAATGTTTATTTGGATTTTCTCCCCACCTGCGGGAGGGGCGGGGAGAACACAAATAAGAGATAAAAAAGCCCTCCCGGGGGATCTTTGGGGATTTATTTATGATTTATGAGGCTGAGCGGGGGGGGAAGAGAAGGGGATTTGTTGTAGGGAGGAGTTCAGAGTTGGTTTAACGCCAGCAGGGAAGTCCCGGGTTTGTGGTTTGAGTGAGGCACTCACCTAAATCGTGATTTAAAATTTCAATTTAATCGTGGTTAAATTGACTCCTCCACTTCTGCCGGGATGGGGAAAAGGGAACGGAAGGAAATGGGGAAAAGGGGAATGAAGGGAAAAGGGAAATAGAAGGAAATGGGGCAAAGGGGAATAAAGGAATTGGGGAAAAGGGGGATAGAGGGAAATGGGTGAAAGGGGAATGGAAATAAATGTGGAAAAGGGGAATGGAAGAATTGGGGGAAAGGGGAATGGAAAGAAATGGGAAAAAGGGAAATTAAGGAACTGGGGGAAAGGGGAATGGAAGGAATTGGGACAAATGGGAGTGAAGGAATTGGGGGAAAGGGGAATGGAGGGAAATGGGGAGAGGGGAATGGAAGGAATTGGGGAAAAGGGGAATTGGGCTCAGCCTCGCTTCCCCGGGTCTGGGCCGGCCCCGTTCCCGCTCCCTGCTGCTCCCTGGCCCAGAGCAGCCCTGGAGCACCCCCGGAGTCCGGGGGGTCCGAGCTCTGCTCCCCCCGGGGTGACTCTGTGGGAATTGGCGCTCCAGAAACGCCCGGGAGGCAGCAGGGAGCTGCCAAAGCCAGAGGCCATTCCCATATCCAGAATTTCACTGGCCA